TGGTTTTTGTATCATTATGGTAACAAGTACAAGAACATGATTCTATGTAAGTTGGAATTCGGGACACTGTATGGCCTGTTGAGTATACCTTTTCTTTAATACTGTAATCAAATAACAAAAATAATAGAATGCTATATGTCATATTGTAAGTCATATTGTGATATGATAAGTCTCAAATGCACCAATATCTTAGATGGATTTATCTGCTGCAGTGGAGTCATATTACGACTTGTCAAATCAATTTTAAAATATACATTTATGTTTAGTGATAAAACATTGAGCACACTTCTGTTATTCCTTTCAGACTGAAAAGGGTACATTGCCTCATGAATTCATGGAAGGTGTGGAGGGAGTCGCAGGTGGCTTTATATATACTATTCAGGGTAAGTTGGCTGGTTAAAAATTGAAAAGCACACTGAATCTCATGTATTTAGTCTTACTTTATACTTTGACATAAAGGGTGATTTGGTTTTTGTTTTTTGTCATTTAAAAAATAGCTTTATTGAGATAAAAATTCACCCCTTTAAAGTGTTGTGTCCAATTCAGTGGTTTTTAATGTGTTCACAGAGTTCTGCAATCATCTCCACTAATTCCGGAACATTTATATCACTCCAGAAAGAAGCCCCATTAGCAGTCACTCCCCATTCTTCCCTCCCCACTCCCGTAACAACTGCTAATGTTTCTTTCTCTGTGGATTTGCCTGTTTCGAACGTTTCATGTAATGAAATTGTACAATATGTGGTCTTTGTGTCTACCTTCTTTTGTTTAGCATACTGTTTTCAAGGTTCAACCATGTGGGGGGGGGGTGTGTATATCAGTACTTTTATGGCCATATAATATTCCACTGCATAGATATATACCCCATTTTATTTATCCATTAATTGATGGACATTTAGATTGCTTCTACTTTTTGGTAATGATAAATAATTCTGCAGTTAATATTTATGTACAGGTTTTTGTGTGGTCAAATATTTTCATTCCTCTTAGTTAAATACGTAGTAGTAGAAGTGCTGGCTCATATGATAATTCTATGTTTAACCATTTGAGGCACTGCCAGACTGTTTTCCAAAGCAGCTGCCCATTTTACATTTTCACAGTCAGTGTATGAGGGATCCAGTTTCTCCACATCCTTGTCAACACTTATTATTGTCTGTCTTTTCTAATATACCTGCCTACCCTAGTGGGTGTGAAGTGGTATCACATTGTGATTTTGATTTGTATTTCCATAGTAACTAATGATACTGAGAATTTTTTCATGTGCTTATTGTCCACTTGTATATCTTCAGAAAAATATTTATTCAGATCCTTTGCCCATTTTTTAAATTAGATAATTCTATTCTTGAATTGTAAAATGAATTCTTTATAAATGAGCCACCATACCTGGCCACTTTCTTGGTGGTGTCCTCTAACACACAAAAGTTGTAAATTTTGATGAAATCCAATTTTGTCACTTGTGCTTTTGGTGTCATATCTGAAAAGCCATTGTCTAATCTGAGATCACAAAGATGTATGCCTTTGTTTTCTTTCAAGAGTTTTATAATTTTAGCACTTACATGTAGGACTTCCATCACGTTAAGTTAATTTCTGTATATGGCGGGAAGTAGAGATTCTAGTTCATTCTTTTGCATGTGGATATCCAGTTGTCCCAGCACTCATTTGTTGAGAATTGGTGACTGGAAATGTAAGTCTTTCTTTCTGGACTCTCCAATTCTGTTCCATTGATCTATATGACTATCCTTATACCAGTACCATACCGTCTTGATCATGTGGCTTTGCAGTGAGATTTGAAATCTGGAAGTGAGTCCTCCAACCTTGTTCTTCTTTTTCAAGCCTGTTTTGGCTATTCTGAGTCTGTTGCATTTCCAAATGAATTTTAGGATCAGCTTGTCAGTTTCTCCAAAAAAAAAACCCCAAAAACAGCTGGAATTTTGAAAGGGATTGCATTCATTCTGTAGATAAATCTGAGGAGTTTTGCCATATTAATAGTATTAAGTCTCTGAACATCCTTGAGCATGGGATGTCTTTCCATTCATTTATGTGTTGTTAAATTTCTTTCTGTGGTGTTTAGTGGTTTTCAATGTAAAAAGCTTACACTTCTTTTGTTAAATTTATTCTTACATATTTATTTTTTAATGCTATTGTAAGTGGAATTTTTTAAAATTTTATTTCCAGATTGTTCATTACTATTATATAGAGAAATACAATTGATTTTTGTATATTGATCTTATATACTGCAACCTTGCTGAATGTGTCGTTTTTTGGTTAATAGTTTTACAAATGCCTTAGGCTTTTCTATATACAAGATGTCATCTGCTAATAGAGGTAGTTTTGCTTCTTCCTTTCTAATGTGGATGTCTTTTATCCTTTTCCTTATCTAATTGTCTCAGCTAGAACATATGGTACAATGTTGAATAGAAGTGGCAAAAACAGACACCCTTTCTTGGTATATATTAATTTAATATATTTATACTCATTTTTCAGATATATGCAGTTAAAATGTGTAACTCATTAGTTTAAAAGGCTTATACTTAATTTCTGCTGTCGTCTTATTACCAGCCATTTTCCTGTTACTGCAGTTTTATAACACTTTCATTTTCCTTCAAGTGTTAAATTGTACAGATACTCCTTGACTTACGATGTGGTTACATCCTGATAAACTCATCTTAAGTTGAAAATGCATTTAACCACACCTAACCTGCCCAACATTATAGCTTAGCCTCTAGCCTACCTTAAACATGCTCAGAACACTCATATTAGCCCACAGTTGGACAAAATCATCTAACAGAAAGCCTAATAGAGTATTGAACATCTCGTGTGTGATTAAATACTGTACTGAAAGTGACAAACAAAATGGCTGTATGCGTACTCAAAGTACGATTTCTACTGAACGCGTATCGCTTTCACACCATTGTAAAGTCAAAAAATCATAAACGGAACCATTGTTCAGTCAGGGACCATCTGTATTTATTTATCCTTATCTTTAGAGTCAAAAGGGACTAGAAGTCATTTAGGCCTGTGTTTCTCAAAGGGCAGTCTGTGGTCTGTCTGTAATTCACCTGCATGAGAGTCAGAGAAGTGACCATTAAAGATACAGACCTACTGGGCTCCACCCCAGACCTAGTAGATCTTTAAGCTTGGGGCCCAGGAATCTGTATGTCCGTAATCATTCCTAAGAACCACTGATTTAGTTCCACCCTCCTTTTATAGATGAGAATGCTACAGTCCAGAGACAAATGTAACTTGTCACTATCTCACACATAGTGGTAGAGGCAGAAGTCACATGTAAGTCTTCAGACCCCAACCTCCATCCTTTCCATTTCCAGTGACAAAGAGAGGACTGCTGTTACCTTTCATTTCCTTTCCCCACCCTCTACAGCTCACTTTCTTTTTATTCTTCAGAAATTTTCTTTAATTTGATCAAGACATTTGAGAAAATCCTGACTTCCCCTGCCCTAGTGACATAATTACTGCTTTAAATTAATAGGATCTGGGGACAGTCCCTGCACACATGTGACAAGTGATTCATTAACTTGTGAGAGGGCAAATAAAATGTCTTTTAAGCATTAATAATTATTTTTATTATGAAATATAAATATACCAGAAATAGAGAATACTGAAAGGAACACCCAGGTACCCATTGCTCAGAATTATTAGGTATTTACATTTTGTCATATTTGCTTCCAATTTTTTTTTAAGAAATACAAATGATAGGCCCAGTTGAACTCCCCCCGACACCTGTAGGTCTCCCTAGCCCCATTCCTCCCCTTCCCCTCAGAAGGGAAACCCTTGTCCTAAAATTTACATGTACCCCACCCATTCTTATTTTTCTACTTTCTACTACATATTTGCATATCTTTAAATAACATAGTTTTGGGTATTTTATAATATCATAGAATCAATATATCACTTATAAATTTTCACTCAACATTATTTTTCAGTGCCATTCCTTTTAACGTGCAAGATCAGGTTAAGTTTTTTAACTACTATAGTCCATTATGTGAATATACCACAATTCGGTTTTTTTTCCCTATCAGTGGGCATTTAGCTTGGTTCCATTTTTTTTCCCCACAATTACAAACAATGCTGCAATGGATATCCTTGTGACCATTTAAAAATAATGTCTATAGGGTATATCTACAAGCAGACTCAACCATAAGGTATACATATCTTCAGCCTAACTAGATATTTCCAAATTGAAGTCGCCAATCCCCAGCCAGGCTGCAGACCCATTCCTCAGGGACCGAGCTGAGGAGCTCTGCTGTTGTGCCACCCCACCCTGTCTGGGGAAAAATTGTCTTCCATGAAACTTAGGAGATGGGGGGAAAGGCCTTATAGCAGGAGGTAAGCAGCAGGGAGCAAACCTTCATCTGTATTTACAGCCACTCCCCATCGGTTGCATCGCGGCCTGAGCTCCGCTTACACCCCCCCACCCACGCATTCCTCCTACGCCCCCACCCTCCAGTCATCATGAAAAAATTGTCTTCCATGAAACCAGTCCCTAGTGCCAAAAGGTTTGGGGACCACTACCTGGCAATGTATGAGAGTTCCCATTTCCCTACCTAAAGTTCCAAACAACTGTATTTGTTAGGTTGCCTTGGGAAGAGAATTTTAGTGTACATCGTATTATAGCTTCTGGGTCTTAAGTTTGCAATAGCATTTTTCTCCAGTTCTCAACTTTTTTCCTTTGTAGAAGGTGATGCTCTTTTACACAACCTTCATTCTCGCCCCGGAAGACTTATTGATCATAAAAGTAATCTCCACGAGGAAGATGCCTTACTGAAGGAGGAGAGCAGCACCTATGATGATATTGTTTTTGTGGATGTTGTCGACACTTATCGAAATGTTCCTGCAAAATTATTGAACTTCTATAGATGGTAGGTTGTAAAAATGTTGGTTAGCTAGAACTTGTTTTATTTTTATTCTTTTTTTTTTTTTTTTTTTGATACAGAGTCTCGCTATGTTGCCCAGGCTGGTCTCTAACTCAAACGATCCTCCCTCATCAGCTGCCTGAGTAACTGGGACTATACCTGGCTCATTGATCTTTTGATGTAGAAACAATTTATCAACTTCAAACTTCTGAGATTTCAATAAACAAAAACAAACCTAAAACTGCTGAACACCTGTGGTGTGACCATTGTATGTATCTGGGCTCCTTGTGAAGACCAAGCTTCTAAAATGCTGCCACTTATTTTGATCAGCAGATCCATAATGTGAATGATACTGACCTATCAAAAATACACAAGGCAAAAATTGATTTACTTTGAGTCGTTCCTACTTGCCTGGTTGTCTCAAGCCAGCATTAGATGAAAATCGTTGAGTTCAAAAATGGTTTGTTTTTAGTAGTATTTATACTCATCTGCCCATATTCCCCAGTTATAGTCATTTGTATCTAGATTACTGATCTGAATTCTGTTCAACTGAATATCCACTTTATATTTTCATTCTCTACTCCATTTAAAAACTGCTTGCCCTGATTCTAAAACTCCTATATAGATGACTTACTGAAATTCCACAACTCTTAGAGTCTATCATATTTATACCTTCCTGGACACTCCAGTGTTTCTTGGATCTTAGTAGTAATTTCTACTCTTATAACAATAATAACAGCAACAATAATATATAATAAGTGTTATTTTATATATAATAATATTAACATATACATGGTTACTAATAGTATTAGTTATCCTAGGATCCCATAATTTGCTGTGGAGTTCACTGATACTGTCTACCTTGACTGCAGAACTAAAACCTTTGAACTCTTATCTCTGTCTAGGCTAAACCTATAAAGGGTAGTCACATCTTTGTCTTTTGTTTTTTGAAACCTTATGCTGTTTCTTCGTGAGGTCTAAGGTCTGTTTTTTCTTTTCTTCACTACTGCCCTAGGGAGAGTGAGAGATTATTAAGTACAGTACTTTACGGACATAGTTCCCTGGTCCTGAGAGTTAGATGATCTAGTCAGCTCACGGACAGTAACATTTCCTAGTTGGGGCATATTAATATAATTTTGGAGTCATCCTGTGGGTAGAAGAAAGATTTAAATGAGGGTTGGAAATTTGGATGTGTCTAGAATACCTACCAGGATTAAGTTTAGACAGCTGTAGTAAGAAAAAGAAACTTCTTTTAACTCACGGCCACTAATGGGAGTTCTAGCTGTAGGTGAGGCCAAGGCGAGGGGGTGAATAGTGGGAATGGAGATCCAGGAAGTGGAAAATCAGGACTGTGGGATTCTAGGACTTTCTAGAGAGACAGACTTCCCAGGTGTAGAAGTTCCATTTGGGGCAGTACTACCTACAGTTTAAGTTTAGTCTCTTCTACTCCTTACCCATCTCAGATTTTGGCCTCTCCCCTCCGTCTCTGCTTCCACTGTTTAGGGCCATCACCTTCTCTGCCTGGATTGCTCCAGTAACCTTCCAACGGGTGTGCGCTGAGACCGCTTACCCATAGCCGGCCCCACCCATCTCCCTCCACACTGTCAATGAAAGTTTAATTATTCCTTCTTTATTCAGTTGACTCATCAGTGACCTAAATATCCCTCATCATGAAAGTTTATTTCTCATTAGCAAACAAGTATTATATATACCTTATGCTGTTAATTAGAAATAAACTTTAGAAACATAGGGTTATGCTAGTTGCTGTGGACCCATTGTTGTTAAATTTACTGTTCTTTGACCTAATGAAATTTCTTCTGGATTTCTTTTATTGAGATTTCTGTCATATTACAATACTCTGCATTTTTAAACAGAGATGGACAGGATTGTCAATGTGAAATGAAGTAATGAATTTTGTCTTTAGTTGCCATTATATATTTTTTTATGTCTGGATAAATGAAGTCACCCTCCTGTGCCTTCCAGAAGGTCATTTATAATAGTTTAATTGTTGGAAATTGTTTCCAAGGGGAAGTATGTTTCAATGATATAGCTCAGGTTTTTAAAACCATAAATTATCTTGAATAGAGTATATAAATAATAGCATAGAATGCATCTTGTACAGTAGTGTTTTCTGTGAGAGGCCCAGGTGTAACACCTGATCCATTATCCTGGGCCTTTGTTTTTAAGAACACACGGGACAAAGTTCAAATGTTTAATAGATTTGGCAGCCTGACATGAATGATGCCTAAGAGGCATTTGTTGGAACATATATTCCACTTAAGCCAGATTTTTTTTCATTGTATTCTTTTTCCTTTACCTTTTAAAATCAGCTTGGTACGTCTCTGTGTTATGCCACTTAGTAAATACCAACTGAGGGCTGTAGTTGATAGCAGCAAAGTTCTGTTAGAGCAAATGTTCCCAGCATTTGAGGAATGAGACATATGGGTAGCACAGGTACAATTTTGAATTAAACTGTTAGCAATGCCACCACATTGGTGTTGTGCTTAGTTTCTTTGTATGGTCATACTGACTTTCATAACTCTTTTGCCAACAGGACTGTGGAAACAACCAGCTTCGATTTGTTGCTAAAGACAGACGACGACTGTTATATAGACTTAGAAGCTGTATTTAATAGAATTGCCCAAAAGAATCTGGATGGGCCTAATTTTTGGTGGGGAAAGTAAGTTAACCATTGTTAGCCCGTTGGCACTCTTGTACCTGACCAAATGTAATTAATTTAGAATGAAATATGCAAGTCATTTTTTTCACATGGAAAATATAATTGAGATACGAAATTTTGTATTAGGCTCCTGGGTTAATGTTTTATTACTCTACAATTAGAGGAAAATATTTTTTAAATGAAAGCCTCAGGCTAATTTAATTAAAAAGGGAAAATGATGTAACTTCTATTCTCATGCCCTAGAAATAAATGGTACTCACATTAGACACTGCTGTACCTTTTTGTGTTGTTTTGTTTTTGTTTTGAGACAGAGTCTCACTGTGTTGCCTGGGCTAGAGTGCCGTGGCGTCAGCCTAGCTCACAGCAACCTCAAACTCCTGGGGTCAAGCGATCCTACTGCCTCAGCCTCCCGAGTAGCTAGGACTACAGGCATGCGCCACCATGCCCGGCTAATTTTTTGTATATATTTTTAGTTGTCCAATTAATTTCTTTCTAATTTTAGTAGAGATGGGGTCTCGCTCTTGCTCAGGCTGGTTTCGAACTCCTGACCTCAAACAATCCGCCCGCCTCAGCCTCCCAGAGTGCTAGGATTACAGGCGTGAGCCACCGCGCCCAGCCTGCTGTACCTTTTATATTAGAATAAATTTGTGACACATCTCAGAAACTATTTTCTGTGCTTCATCAGGAATATAATAGGGATTAGTGATTTGGTTTTTTTAGTATATACTGAAATACAGGGTAATCTTCTAGTACTTTTCTTTCAGAAACTCCACCAATGCAACTTTGAGAAAATTTAATATACCACTCTTTTATATAAAACACCACTGGATAAATGATAATATTCCTTCCCTTAGATTAAAAAAATATTTTCTCATCTTCTATCCTGACTTTTAGAAGCTTATTCCTTTGTAGTGATGATAAAGGATTCAAGTTTAATAGTGCCAGGGTTTGTGTCAGACCAACACAAGAAGCCATGTTGTTTTTAATCTCAGTTTCAGATTGAACTGGGCAGTTGACCGAACGGGAAAGTGGCAGGAGTTGGAGTATCCCAGTCCTGCGTACCCTGCCTTCGCGTGCGGGTCAGGGTATGTGATCTCCAGGGACATCGTCGACTGGCTGGCAAGCAACTCGGAAAGATTAAAGACCTATCAGGTACTGAAGGATTTCTAACCTCAGTGTATACTCATCAAACCAAGTTTTATTCAGCCCAGTATTCCGTCGTCGAAAGCAGAGCCCACTTACTTGGGGGAAAAGCATGTTGTTCTTTCTGTGTAGAAATCACCCCTCAAAGGTTAAGGACACACTCCTGTCCCTCAAATCTTGGCTTTAAATTTTATTCCTATGTCTTTTTTGAGCCTATGTTTTCTGCCTGTATTTACAAGTATAATCCCTGGAAGAATATAAAGATTGTTATTCATTCATAAGGAGAAAGACCAGAAAGTACTTCCTGAAGACTTCAAGTACATGAGAAGAATGGGCTGTCTCCTGACTGTATCATCTTCTCATTACCTTGTGGTGTGGATGCTTCATATTAATGGCCACTAGCTTTTACTTTGTGTGTCAGTGTTAATCCACGTTTGGCATTTCATATTAAAGTAATAACAAAGAAGTCGATTGTTTATTATGGAAGTGGGTGTGACATTGTCTTTACAAATGAAACAAGCTTTTAAACTTTTACATTTAAACTTTATGGGCCACATATAGGGTGAAGACGTAAGCATGGGCATTTGGATGGCAGCCATAGGACCTAAAAGATACCAGGTAAGCAGATCTTTGGGGGCTGGCCTCAGGGTTCCTAAGAGTTGAGAAAGTGAGATTTCTATATACAGATTAAGTATCCCTTACCCAAAATGCTTGGGACCAGAAGTGTTTCAGATTCCAGATTTCAGATTTGGGAATAATTGCATTAAAATTACAAGTTCAGCATCCCAAATCTGAAAATCTGAAATGCTTCAGTGAGCGTTTCTTTTGAATGTCATGTTGGTGCTCAAAAAGTTTTGGATTTTGGATGTTTGGATTTGGGATGCTCAAGCTGTGGTGTGTATGAGACCCTGGGCAGAAAGAATGAAGATCTTCTAGCATCATAGCTGTGCTCCTAATTTAATTCACAGTAATTGACCTAGGTTATTTCTCATACAGTATTTTTCTCAGTTTAAACCAAAAGGAAATGTTATGAAAGTTCCCCTATCTATACAGAAGAATTAGGTTTTCATAGATTTGATCGGAAATTCTTTGCAGCTTTAAAACTTAATGACAGGAAAAAAAAAAAAAACTTAATGACAGAATCCACTGACTTGAGTTTCCAGCAGTGTGGCAGCCTAAGGACCCTTCAGCCCTCTGACTGATAGAAATAAAACACTGGATAAAATATTGCAAGACGTCATTTAAAGCACACTAATTGCAAAACCAGGAAAAAAAAAATGAGTCTGCAGAGACTAAAATGGAAAGTAGGAGTCCTGGGAAGAAAGTAAGCACAAAGCTGGCTTTTGCCGCAGAGATTTCTGTTGAATCCTAGATTCTTGCAACTTCCACTTTGGCTGTACATGGTGCAGGGCACAGAAAGAGTATGCAGTGTCTGCAGATTAGGAACCTGCATGCAGCTGGGACCCCACTCAGCTGGGAGCAGCACACTCAGTTCAGGGTGAACAAGAAATAAACCCAAATCTAGTTGGTCAGCTTTGATAGTCCTATTCCTTTGTCATACTTTCAATCCCATCTCTGGCTTACTGAACTTTGAATATAATTATTTTACTCTCTGTACCCGATAATTCTGGGATCTGTAGTCTTCGCAGATCTGATGCTGCAGTTTGTTGTTTCTGCAGACTGTGTGTACATGGGGCTTGTTTCCTGATGCGTTGAGAGACTTTTTATTGTGACCTCACATCTTTGGAAACCAAGGCCTGTATTTAAAATGCATTTCTACCGAAGACGGTTTACATTTTTTTCTGCCATGCACCTAAAGGCACTACCATCTATGAATACTTCAAATTTCTGGCTTGGGACTTTTGGGGCTGCTTAGACTCTAACACCTCCAGACCCACCTAAGTGCAAGCTGTGGTAACATGTCAAGGGAGACTCCTTTCCGTCCCACTCAGGCAAGACTGAGACAGACAAGTCACTTTCTGTACAGGAAGTTTCGTTTTCTTGTGTACCCTGGAGGTTGTGGCTCTTCAGGGATTCTGGCTCTCTGTGGCAGTCTGGTCTCCTGTCCTTGGGCATGGACTTTTTTGTTATTATGATTATTTTTTTTTAATGGAGTAGTTTGCGTTTGTATGGGGCATGGACTTTTAAAACCTGAGGATCAGCAGATGCCTTCAAGGCTCATGCTGACTCCAGCACTTTCTCTTGTTTCTTCTTCTCACCCGAGGTCAGCCATGCTTTATAAATTTTTTTTTTTTTTTTTTTTGAGACAGGCTCTCACTGTGTTGCCTGGGCTAGAGTGCCGTGGCGTCATCTTAGCTCACAGTAACGTCAAACTCCTGGGCTCAAGCGATCCTTCTGCCTCAGCCTCCCGAGTAGCTGGGACTACAGGCATGCGCCACCATGCCTGGCTAATTTTTTCTATATATTTTTAGTTGTCCAATTAATTTCTTTCTATTTTTAGTAGAGACGGGGTCTTGCTCTTGCTCAGGCTGGTTTCGAACTCCTGAGCTCAAACAATCCGCCCGCCTCGGCCTCCCAGAGAGCAAGGATTACAGGCGTGAGCCACCGCGCCCGGCCAATATTTTTAATTTTATCCAGCATTTTCGTGTTCTCTAACTGAATGAGTTTCTCTGTAAATGTGTTCTGTTATATTGCTGAAAACAGAAGCCAATTCACATAGCCGGGAAATAGTCGTGATTGAGAACTGGGGTTCAGGAGTCACCCCATCATTTTACCAGCACGGTGACCTTGAGCAAGTAACTTAACTCTCTTAATTTGTAAGCATTCCATTTTATGGTAGCTGTTACTAATGCTACTATATAACCAACCCCCTCTCCTCTAATAGCAAATATGAAACTCTCCATTTGTGGCTTCCAAACTTTATTATAGAATTCGATTTGCTAACTCAGAGTTGTTACACACCACACTGCATTGTTTCTGTGTTCCCCAGCCACGGGATTGTGGGGCCTGGTGCTTTCCCAAATCAGGAGGTACCGCCCCCAAACCTCACCCGTCTGTTCACACACAGAATTGTCCTTGAAATAATTTCAGCTTCGTTAGAAGAAAGCTGCCTTTATGTTTGCTTTCTGTCTCTCTTAAAACAGTTTCACAACTCTCACACCAGCTCTGTTTTTCAACAGGACAGCCTGTGGCTGTGTGAGAAGACTTGCGAGACGGGAATGTTGTCTTCCCCTCAGTATTCTCCACCGGAACTGACGGAACTGTGGGGACTGAAGGAGCTGTGCGGCGATCCTTGTCAGTGTGAGGCGAGATGACCGGGATCTGGAGTGGCAGTGTTTAAAATCAGGGTAGGCAAATGATAATCCGAGTGGAAGTCTGAAGGAAGCCTAAGGTTTGGCAATATGGTCTTTCCAGGAGCATTATGGGCTAGCACTTTCACCTGTGACCAATGTGGGATTTCTTAATGTTTGCACAAATTTCCTTTTTAAAAGTCAACTGATACTGTAGCATAAGAAAAGTTTTTATTTATATATTGGAAGATGATTTGAAAAATACCAAATTGTTTTATAAAAGGAAAAATATTTCTAAATCCTGATGCATTGTTGCTAATTAGTAATTCATCATTACCTATCATTTTTGGTTAAAATTTGGCCTAGCTCAGAAATCTTGATTAGTAACCAAGAGTTTGAATTTCGAGCTGGATTGCAGGACAGCTCTGTAATTATCAGCTAAAAAGAAATAACAGAAATGTTGTGTGATCACTTATTTGAGCATTGGTTGCTTATACCAAAGTTTGGGGTTTCTGGAAATAATGTCTGATTTTTGTGGCTCTCTGAATGAAGTGGGCAACTTGAACTTAAAAAGGAACCAATATGATTCTCAGTTCTGGACCTTGGTTTTTTAAGGAAGTTCACATTTATACAGTAGACTAATACTCAAATTTTCTTTTGTCATTTAATATAAATCCTGAAGATCACAGTTTAGTATTCCAAAAAAAAAAAAAAAAAAAACTAAATTTTTGTGACTGAATAAAAGCAAATACCTCTCTCAGGGTTTTAGGTGCCATAGGGAAGGATATTTCTAAATTGCTGACACTCTGAAAGAATTAATTTTGCTTTCCTTTTATCATTGTATAATGTTTACTTAATTAATTATAAGTAAATTTCAGTCAGAGCTGGTCATCTTCTGTAGAAGATATGCTCAGTTTAGGTATAACTGTAGGGAAAAGCATGTGATTAATTTTTTAAGCACTCTAAAATAGTACAACTGAGAAGAGATAATAGCATTTATGTTATACATCATAGAGGCTATATCGCTCTAAGTTTAAGGGACATTTCCCAAAATGACCAACCAAATCATTCTAGTAACCTTTTAAAATAGTAGTATCGATAGAGAATTCCATTAAAGCTAGTCTTATGACAGACATTAACTGTGTTCAGTTAGAGTAGCTAATTGCTGTTTAATATGTCAATCTTCACACAATGAAATGCAATGATGAACTGTAAAAATAAATATGAAATAAGATCAGAAAATCACTAGTAGGTTCAAGGCCTTTATTATTGCTATTATATATACAAGCCTAGAAATGATCTCTTCCCGACAAAAAATACATCCTTTGTTATACTTAGGGCAAGTTGTAAAACTTCATTTTTTGACAGAATTGTTCCAAGAAATCATTTATTTTCGGTGAACCCCAGACATGATAAGCAGTCTAGTCGCTGGTTGTTACCATCGCACTAACAGACAATCTCCATTTTCCACAGAATAAAACTGTAATGACTGTAGGTCATTTTCCAGTTCAATTTCTCTGCCCGGCATCTGAAATTAGAACAAAGGTGGGGAGAGGTGTGATTGAGACAGATCTGACAAAGCATGTTACACATATGCTCCCCCAAGCAGCAGGTTACCCTTAAAGACATCATATATACAAGCATATATGGGCTCCCATTTAGAATCAAACTACAGAGACAATTAATGCCACAATGTGGGGCAGTAAGCGTGACTTTGTATTTTGCTGGGCAACTTACTTTGGGACTTTCATAGGACAACAGAAGGTCTGACACAGGAACTTTGAGAAGACGTGACAGCAGTCCCTTCACCTTTTGAATTGTCATGGAGTCTGTCAAAGAAAAGAAAAACCCATCAGTTCTCCCAAATGACTGATCTGTAAAACTGGGTCCCATGAATTGCAGTGGTAGCTACATCGGATTTCACAGTGTCGATTTATCCAAATACGGAATTAGGGAAAAACTGGAGTGATTTGGGGAACTGCGGGAAATGGAGCCAGTGTTCAACCTAAGTGCCCTTTGACAGTGAATTTCATGCCATTTCAGTAGCGTGTTTCTTCTTAAATCAGAAATGATATTCTTAGCACAGAAGCATAAACGGGAATGAATCATTAAGTTTTCCTTTTAAACCTGTGATTACTCTCCTAGGAATTAATGTGAGAACACTGGAGTGGGGCTCAGGTGCCCTGAGGACGTCTCTCACCCTCTGGCCTTAGTTTCCCCCTCTGTAAAGCGAGGGTGTAGACTGATCTGTAAGGTCCTTTCCAGTGCTACTGTTCTGTAACTATAACAGCTTAATTATTATGATGTGTGGTTGTGTTCAACACACAGACAAGTGACCACCAGGCACAGGAATGTAACTTAAAGAGTAAATGCTTTGGTTTGTTCAGAAAACACTATGAACTTCTTTCCAAAGATGGGGTGTGGTAAATAGTGGATATTTTGATGATGAAAAAAAAGTTTCTTTGAAGCTTTAGCTGGAGGTACAGCAATAGTGTAGTGTTCCTACAAATATCACAATGTATTCAAACAAATATTTTTCTATCAAAAATCATTTTTGTAAAAGCTGTGTGTTTTTATGCAACTTGTGATAATAAATGTTATCTTTATTTTAGAATAAAAACTGGCTTTTTCTTGTTTATGTATTAATAATATAGGTAAATATTTGTAATTGTGATATGATTTGCTCTTTTTAATCTAGTCCTTTGGGAAGACTTAGGTGAACTGGCTTTCATTGTTTGGAGGGTGTTCAGAGAGGGGTTAACTCCTGCACACCAATGGAAAGGACACATTCCCAAGCCATGCCAGTCTGGTCATAAAATAATTCTAAGAAATCTGTCTACTTGCACTGAGTCTATAGAAGAAAGTGGCAATTTGTATGTATGTAATAACTATGGTAACATCTGATTGTCTTAACATTCAGAAAATATGGAGGTACTCAATTATTTGACCGTTTCCCTCCCTATGACCAGTGTTAAAAACGTGATTAAAAAAAGGCTTAGAAGCATACTTGTGTTCATATAAGATGCACAGGTTTTATAATATTTGTTGATCTACCACTTGTATTTCTTTATCATACAATATGCCAATTCCTTTAGACATGCACTGTCCAACATGGCATCTACATGTGGCTACTAAGGACCTGAACTGTGGCTAGTACAACTGAGCTGAATTTTTAATTTTAGGCTAATAAATTTAAAATTAAAGAACCACATGTGGCTAGTGACAGCTGTTACTGTACAGCACAGTAACAGCTCCCAGACCTTCCTCATTCCCTTAATGGTGCATTAGGGTACACTGTATGGTCCTAGCAGAGTTCATTCAACCATTCTCCCATTTATAAACACTTACTTAGATTGTTTTCATCATTACCATTACGAGTGCTACAAGATAGAATGCTTGGTCAGAGCATATATTTTTTATAGCAATTACCATATGACTTTACAGAAAGGGGACACTGCTTTTTCATGCCAGCATTATTTTCTTTAATTTTTGCTAATCTGATGGATAAAAAAATGGTATTATAGTATTTTACATTTATTACTTTCCTTTTTAGAGGATATTTATGTTTGTGGTTAGATATTCATAGCATGAAACATAAGAATTAATAGTGAAAACCCTGGCTTACTGTTAATCTGTTGGCTTCTGAGTTCATAGAATATAGGAGGCCGGGCGCGGTGGCTCAGGGAGGCCGAGGCAGGCGGATTGTTTGAGCTCAGGAGTTCGAGACCAGCCTGAGCAAGAGCGAGACCCCGCCTCTACTAAAATTAGAAAGAAATTAATCGGCCAACTAAAAATATATAGAAAAAATTAGCCGGGCATGGTGGCGCGTGCCTGTAGTCCCAGCTACTCGGGAGGCTGAGGCAGGAGGATCACTTGAGCCCAAGAGTTTGAGGTTGCTGTGAGCTAGGCTAATGTCACGGCACTCACTCTAGCCAGGGCAAAAGAGTGAGACTCTGTCTCAAAAAAAAAAAAAAAAAAAAAGAAAAAAAAAAAATAGGACTCAGATTCTGAATAGCTTAAAGCAGGGATAATTACACATAATTTCTGTGGATAATTCTAATGTTAGTTCTACCCAAAGATTAATAAAAACAGAATGAATATGGTGAGTGTTCCCAAAGTGGGACCTACATCTCAAAAGACCTGGGATACCAGTCAGGTGTACAGTGTGGAAGGATGAGGTGGCCCTGTCACCCCCAGCCTAGGGCTGCTTTTGTGCACATGCTCAGACCACAGTCCTCGACGGATCTATCTCAGTGCCTTCCTAGAGAAAGCCTGAAAAGGAAAGCTTAACTAAACAGGTCTAAGGAGAACATTCTTGAGCAAATATTCATTAGTGGTAACATTACCATGAATTAATTGACTTATCTGGAAAGGGAAAAATGCAAAGACATCCAAAGCCAAAAACATTAACAAAAAGTTCTAGCTCTCTTTCACTAGCCTGCCCCCCACCAAGGCCTTTACTGACAGTATTTTTTGAAAACAGAATAACAAAGGAGTAACCACTAATTTTAATTCATCATTATATAGCAGTAGGAAAATTACATATCACAGGAGTAGAAACTGGATTGCTAGTAAATAAGAATGGAGAAATAACTGATAAATTAACACTAAATGGATGGTCATCAATCAGAAAAGTACTTCCTTGAACACACTAAGGCCTGTCGTAAGCAATGCCACAATAAGCTTGTTTTATCTGATAGAAACTGAAAATCAATGTGAATTACTGCACTGACAGGCAAACAAGGAATCGCAGTATACTAGAGTCATTTAGGCTGATATATATTTCATTTTTTTCAAATCCTCACTGCTCTAAATTTAACCTGTTTATATATCTTGAGAATACACGGTATCATGGCATACTTTAAAAAATAAGACTGTAATTTCATTTTTCTTTTGGGGAAAAGTTTAAGGTAAGTTATGTTGATCTAATTTACTGACACAAAAGTATTTATTTTCTGAATAAAACTAATTCAGCACCAGTAGCACAAATTTTTTTCTGAAGTTTTTCCAAAGAAAACCATTTCAGTGTGTCCATTAAAAGAGAGCATCTGAGAATTTTTTCTGCAGGGACTCCTGATCAGTAAGGAGCAGAATGTAAGTAGAATGTAAGAAAAGTCACAAATATCCCAACAATTCAGTTCACTTAGGCCGTGTGTCCTCTTTTATGAAGGGATGATAAGACAGATCCCAAAACCAGTGTAACAGTCTCTTTGGAAACAGCAGTGGCCTTGGGGAATTCCTCTGAAAGGCTAAGCCACTCAAGCTCTCAGGCCTTTGGTTAAAACTAAAATTATATGCAGGGGCTTCCGATTTTAACAAAACTGTTCTCAAGATAAGCTGATAAAGTTATGGGAGACCTGAACTTTTTGAAGGATGGGGAGAGTGATACTAGCATGACTGATTATATTTTAGACTATGAAAGACTAATGAAAACCTGTAAGCTGTGAGGTCCACACTTTCAGATATGAATTAAAGGTTTTAATTCCAGCCAACTCATACACAGGCTAATAATTCAGAAGTATAAAGAAGGTTCATCCACCAAATGGAAGTAGGAAAAAAAAGTATAAGGAAGGAAAAGATACGCGAATTCTTCTTACCTGGTAGTTGTTTCTCTAGGACTTTCTGATCAAGTTGATTAGGGCATTTTATCTTCAGTGCTTTAAGGAAAAAAGGAAAAATCACTACTATAATAGGGATTTAAATTATGCATGCAAGTTAATTGGGATTGCCAAATGATATGGCTATTCAGTACGACATGGCTCAATCCTAATTTAAGAACAGGTCTTACTGATGTTTAAAACTTCTTTATTAATACTTCCACGAATTACTAACAACAAAAATATCTGAACCAGCCAGGCGCGGTGGCTCACGCCTGTAATCCTAGCACTCTGGGAGGC